GAGTAATTTCTATGAATAGACAACGCATTATTTTATGAGGTTTGTTTTTAAATATTAATGAGATATAACACATGTATAAAAATAGTGTACTACGAGTACTATAGTAATTATGTAGTCACTATACAATTGAATTGAACACAATTATAATTACTAAAATTACTAGTAAAAGTCATTGAAGGAACTAAATGAATCATGGATATAACATGGAATTTCCTACTTTTAAATTTTGTTCATGTTTTAAAAACTCAAAAGACTCAAATGTGATTGAAGGAAGTAACATCGGCAATTGGAAATACATACTCCCATTGCCCTAGCACATTAGCTATTGTCCCTAGCTAGCACATTAGCTATGTCAACTTTCTTTATACAAAACTTTTTCCAATTAACCTGTAATTCTAATTGTTTTTCTTTTCTCTAAACAGCACAAATTTACATTTTTAACTTTATTATTGCATGATCATAAAAAAAAGTAATTAAACTAATTAGGACTAAAATAAAGACAAAGTTCCCAAATAGGAGTATTTGCTAATTTATTCCCTACATAGGAGCTATTGAGTGACTCAGCCGTTCCATATTCCTATTTTACACCTTTTAATGATTAGACTCTTTAATGATTTCCATTCGCATCTGCTTTAATTTTTTTTGTTTTCTCCTCACACACTCTCTCTCTTCTTTCTCACCATAAACTCCCATCTCTCCTTCAGATCTTCTTCTTATCTTCTCTCGCTTCACGATCTATCTTAAATCTCGGCAGTTTTTAGCAGCGGTGGGAGCAGCAGCGTGCGGCGGCGGCGGCGTGCAATGACAGGATGGAGTGGCGGGCAGGAGCGGTGGCTTGCAGCGGCGGGATCATTTGTCCTAGGTATGTATCGATCTTCTCCTCTTCTCCCTTCTCTTCCTCTTTTTCTCCTCCTCGATCTTCTGCTCAATTTCTTTCTTCTCCTTTTCTTACTAATTTCTATACCAAATGGTTCTCTAATTGTAATCTTTTTTCACAAATTTTTTTCCATAGTTTTTTTTTAAAATTTGATTACTTGATTCTCAATCAGACCTGTTGGTAGAATTTCAAATTAGGTTTCCGATTGAATCTCTAAAGAGTACCAGGAAATAGTATGATTCTATACCATTAGTTTTGAATCTTAAAATTGTATACTCACTTATTTTCCCGACAAATACCATTCTATCAAGAAGGTAGTACTATCTTTTAATGCCATGTTCTTGAGAGTATTTTTACATATAATGTCATTTTTTGGCATTAAATTCATTAAAATGGAAATATTACTTCTAAAGATGGCAATATTGATCTTCACTCATTTTTCTTTTTATTATTTCCAGAATTATTAGTTCTTTATATTTATTTTCCACATTATATATCATCTATTGCAAATTTATTTCAGAATTGTGTCATTTTTATGAGATTACTTTTACAATATTACTCATTTGAATTTGACAATTTCACTTTGAAAAACATTACAAATAATGACATGTTTTCCCCTTTGAATTGAAATTATTATATTGTCACATAGTGTCATTTTTTTCATTAATTCCATCAAGATGGAAATTAAATACAAGTTATAATGTCAATTTTTTTACATTAATATCAAGATGGAACATACTCATGATGATGGCATTTTTTTTTTTTCCGAATCCACTATTTTGTAATGCCTTAAAAATGCCCAGATGGCAATAAAATTCATATCTTTGTTTTAATACCAATGTCATTAATATGGCATTTAAATGACCCAATTATATCTACAACACTTTTAACATATTTTAGATTAGCCAAAGGTGGTGCTGCGGATCCGGCGACGGCCAGCGGTGCTACACAAGGTGGCGGCGTTGAATGACGGCGGAGGCGCCTGGTGGTGGCGGCGGCTTATGGCAGTGACAACATTTGGCTAAGTGACATTGGTGGTGGTAGAAGCGGCGGCAAGTTGTGGAAGAGGTGGCGCCGACGATGACATGGGTGCCGGCGGCAACCGACGGTGGTGGCGACGGTGCCGGAGGTGGCGGCGATGCCGAAGGTGGCGGTTGAGGTGGCACCGCTGGAGATGGCAGTCGTCGCTCCCCAGATCTGGTGCCGCTTGGATGCTTGAATCCACGAACTGCACCTTTGTTGAACTCCGTATGTTTTAATCTGTAATAATAGTGACTAATAATACAGAAATTGACTTTTTCATTAAGGGTAGTGATGTCAACTCCCTTCTTTTAAGTACTACGGAACATTATGAAACATTGAAGTCTTAGATTTGCACTTTTATTATAATTTAGTCCTAATTAAGGCATTTTCTCAAAAAAAAAAAACATTATTATTGCATGAAACTCCAAAAAACATACTCCGGGTAGCAATCTGTACTGAGACGGGGGTATATATATATATGTTCATGATTAGCTTTGTTATTTGGTCAATTCAAGAAGGAGACGGGTCGATGGAGAAGGATTATATACTCCATATATAGTAGAATTGTTAACTTTGATGGTGCAGAGATCCGTAATCATGATGTATAGCAGCCGCCTAGCAGGCAGCAGCTATGTTTGGAGGGTCTACACTGGCTAAACGAAATGCACAACAGACTAGTGCTATAAAAAATGTGAGTCTAGTATAATTCATTCCGCCTTAAATTAACTTTTAAAGTATATATATTTGAGAAGGAGATTAAGACTAGTGTTATAAAAAAATGTTGCTGAGAGTTGTGCAAAAAGAAAAAAATGTGTAATAATTATTGTGAATCATAAGTTTTTTACTATAAAAGGAAAGTTAAATTTTAATTTGGAACGCCAATTAAAGAAATTTGGAAGTTTAATCAGGGACGCGAAGAGTACTACTCCGTACATATTACCTCCTTCCCATTTTATATATCCTAATTTGACTTAACAAATTGTTAATAAAATGGTTAAAAGTAAAAATTATGGTTGAAATTTGAGTAAAAATAAAATGAAATGCTATATCCTACAAATTTGTTTCCATATAAGGAAATGTTACATTCATTTTAAGACAATCCAAAAAATACGAAGACAAGTAAATGAAACGGAGAGTATATATTACCTCAGTCAATTCGGGGAGAAATAGAAAAAACAACTGATATGTGGTCAAGAGAGGGTAATACGGAGTATATGATGATCACCACAACTAAGAAACCAAAATGTGATTAAATGATTAACACAAAACCAATATAATTAATTATAATTAGGAAGTGACGATCAAAAAAAAAATTAATTAGGAAGTGTCGACGTAGCTAGTAGCTTAGGTAGGATACTAGGATGTGTACAAAAAGGTCGGTAAAGCAATACTCCGTACAAAAAATAAGGATGACACCTCATCCCTAAGGGCCCCCAACACCGACCGGACAGTTAGATGAGAGGGTGTAAATTGGACTTTAATTACAAGTTGACAGATAAAGAGTAAGACTCTGACTTTGATACTTGCCAAGGCCCTATACATTTTTTATCATAGTAACTTCTCATCGCAGTTGTTGGGATTCGAACTCGAAACTTACCTTTTGTGACACCGCTCATCTACCGGTTAGTTACGCCACCGGTAAAGCAATACGGAGTACAAGAATTACCAACAAATGATGTGGGGGTAGGGGTGGGGGTGATGATGGAGGAAAGTTAAAGGTGGAGCATGCCTCGATCAGCTCTGTTGAAAAAGAGGATCCTCTATCCCACGCACGTCCTACTCCAGACCGGCCCTCCAGTAGCTGCATCAGAACAATGCATGCTTTAACATATACAGAGAGTATATCACGTTCTACAATCATTGGCCTCACTTTATATACATACACACATACATACACCTTCAATACCAACCAATTCAATTCTGTTGAATCCTCAAACCAATAGCCCTCATGTCTTCACCGACAAGATTTTTGAGAGATTGTAAGTCGCGATAACTCTGTCACCTCAATAATGGTAGATTTATATCGTGCGCACGAGAGATCCAACCCAGCATGCATGGGGGACCGTAACCTCTGATATACAAGATCGCTACAAGTTTCGATCCTTAATCATTCTTCCAACTTTCTCACCATTCAATCAAATGAACTACACACGCGGGTTAGTACCAACTAATTCAAACAATTACCAAGTATCAATCAATTTGGTAACATTCAATTCATATTAATGGACGATATCTTCATTGGAACGGTTAGATTTCTTGAACTATAGAAAAATGATGATGTACTAAAACTACGTACAACAAATTCAACCTGAAATAACTTCAATCATATGAATTTTAATTATTACACAATTTAAAGATATCTTATGAATTTTAATTATTACACAATTTATAGATATCTAATGGTATATGCGTATAATGAAAAGCTAGTGCGTAATTGATGGACAATCAAACCGGGTCTAAAATTATAAATACGTAGTATAATGTTTTGAGGGAATTCAAACCTTCTAAAGGGAAGAATTATTTTCATATACAATACCGGAATACTAGTATGACATATGGTGGTTTAACTCGATTTTTTTAATACAACCATGCTTGATGTACCCACTTTTATACCCACCTTATACCCACTATGTTTGTGGAGGTTTTTTTGTGTCTGTGAACCCGGATTCACAGACAAAAAAAAACACTTCACAAACATAGGTGTGTATAAAAGTGGGTATAAGAGTGGGTACAAAGATCATTTTTGTTTTTAATATAAGTACTATTGTACAAAACTATTTGCATTTTTTAAAGGTATGGTATCATCATAACTTTTCAAACGGCCCATAAAATTACATTACCTCCCTTTTATTAGTTGCAACCTGCAATACGTTTACGTACTTAGGCTTTTGAGGTTTGCAATGTACTACTATTATTGTAGTACGAGTATCTTTTTGAGTTTTAGTAAAAACCAATAAAATCACATCTTTAAAATATACATCGAGACAGTTTAGCAATACGTATTCCGTAGTACCCGTATTTTTTAAAATAATAATGGTGTCGAAATCGTTATTCGCAACAAATGAAATATGGTCGGGACACGGGACTAAAGCAGGTGAATAATGGAAAAGGTAAAATGTAATAAGCTATAGTACTGGGATATTGATGTAATTTTTGACATTCTCTATTCATTATATATAGACCACCAGGACACCCTATTAGGGTGAGCCATTATTCCATCTTATTATTTCATATGGTATCAGCAGCCTAGGTTACCCTAGTTTTTTGAGCCGCCTACCTTCTTCCTTGCGATGGCCTCTACGTCTGCAACATCGTCAATTACCTCCGCTAGTACCCAGGCGCCGGTTTCTTTATCCGAGCAGCCCCAACATGTCAATACGACGACTTCCTCCAACCCAGTTCTATCCATGGCCCCGGCAGTCTTCACCAGCTTATCCGAGCAGTCTCCTTCCTCGTCTCTCTCCTCTTCAGCGGTGCATCATCATGCTTCATCCTCGAGTGTATCTCTGCCTACTTCACTGTCCGCACACCGGTTGTTCAACATGCCGGCTCCCTTTTTGTGGACATCCACTTCAACTCAGCCTGTGCCAATGACTTCGCCTGCTCCATTCTCTGGCACTCGGACAATACTGGATCATCAACTTTCACCGCCTCCTGTCTTCTCGGCTCCTACTTTTTCCGGCCAACCAGAAATTGGTATACTCCCGCAGCAGTCCTCTCTGCCTTTATCAGGTTCTGCTTCTCAACCATCTTCTTTAGCTTCTATGGCGGCTCAATTGGGTTTTTCCACACTCAATGTTCCGAATATTGTCACTACTCGTTTGAGTGCGGTTGAGGATTATCTCCCGTGGCGCACCCAATTTGAGTCTTTTCTAGTTTCCCACAGCCTTTTTGGGATCCTAGATGGCTCAATTTCGGCTCCGCCGCAATTTACATGTGATGCTATTCGACGGGAAATTCCTAATCCCGAATATACTTATTGGCTCAAAATTGATCAGACAGTCCGTTCTTGGCTTTTTGCCACCCTTTCGCGTGATATTTTGATGGCGGTCTATCACCTACAATTTTCTGCTTGTATATGGGAAGCGCTTGAAACTCATTTTATGAATGCTTGTCGTGCCCGTTCTATAGAACTTAAGCGGCAAATTTCCCATATCAAAAAGAAGGAGACCCAAACCATTGATCAGTATCTCTTGGAAATTAAATTGATAGTTGATGCTTTAAATATGATCAAATCTCCTGTTAGCAATCGTGATGTGCTTGAATATACTATCATTGGTTTGGGGCCGGAATATGAATCGTTGCTTACCATCCTTGACTATCTACCGGGCGATCTTACTCTTGAAAAGTTGGGTCCAATCTTGACGGCCCAAGAGCGGCGGAATATTTATCTACGCTCTCAAGAAAATGTGGCCTCACACCAGGCTTTTGCCGCCGTCCCACAACGAGGAGGTGCAGCTCGAGGTCAGGCTGGACGTCATCCTGGAGGTCGTGGTCGTGGTGGCCAGAGAGGTCGTGGACATAGAGGTCGCGGCCGCGGCTATGGAGGTCAACCGCATGCAGCTTATGGTGGCGGGCAGCAGGCATATGGCGGACAGCAGATGCATGGCGGGCAACAGCCGCCTCTTCTTCCCTTACCTGCTCACGGCCAGCAATATTCTGGACAGCATGTTTTTGGTGGTATGCAGCCGCGTGGGCAGCAGCAACAGGGGGTTCCAGGTACAGTTTTAAGTAATATTTTGTCTGGTTATTCATACTTTAATCATCTATCTACTCGTGGTACTAATAGTGTCAGTACAGGTTTCCCATCTGTGGACAATAACTATTCTCATGCTTCTCCACCAGTTGTTTGTCAAATATGTTACTCCCCAGGTCATTCTGCCCTCACGTGTCCAAGGTTTGTTGGTTCCTCCACTCCTGCTCTGGCTGTACTTCCTACGGGTGAGACTAATGCTTCTGTGTGGTATCCTGATTCGGGTGCCTCCGCTCATATGACCCCTCATGAAGGTATTCTTTCTTCTAAAACTTCTTACACCGGTTCGAATTCTGTGCAAGTTGCTAATGGTACTAATTTACCCATATCTCATGTTGGTAGTCTTAAACTTCTTACGTCTAGCCGCCCGCTTTCTCTAAACTCCGTTTATCATGTCCCACACTTAAAATATAATTTACTTTCTATACACAAATTGTGTGCGGATAATGATTGTACGGTGATTTTTAACAAAAATTCTTTTTTTATTAAGGACAATCAGACGGGGGTGCATCTTCTTCAGGGCTCCAATAAAGACCATCTCTATCCCTTTCATGCTCTTCAAGCGACCCTAGTTTCTGGACCCACTTGGCACAAACGTTTGGGGCATTGTGGTGATAGAGTTTTACACCGACTTCGGCAAAATAATTTAATTACAGTTTCTAGTAGTTTTCTTCATAATTGTGTTGCTTGTAAGTTGGGTAAATCCCACAGACTTCCTTTTTCTGATGTTGTTCATAGTTGTACTGCACCGCTTGAACTCATTCATTCTGATGTTTGGCAGTCACCTGTTTTATCAAATTTGGGTTTCAAATACTATGTTTGTTTCATTGATGATTTTTCTCGTTATACTTGGATTTATCCTATGCGACGCAAGTGTGAGGTGTTTACTCATTTTTGTAATTTTCAGACTCTTGTGGAAAATCTTTTTAACAGAAAAATCAAAATTTTTCAGAGTGATGGGGGTGGTGAATTTGATAATACCATTTTTCACAATCATTTTTTAAAATCCGGTATTTTATTTCGTAAATCTTGTCCGGACACTCCTGCTCAAAATGGTGTAGCTGAACGTAAACACAGACATCTTCTTGAACTGACAAGGACTATGCTAATTGAATCTTCAATTCCTCCTACTTTTTGGGTTGATGCTCTGTACACAGCTACTTATATTATTAATCGTTTACCTACACCCATCCTTAATAATTTTACTCCTTTTGAAAAACTTTTTCATAAATCTCCCGATTTCTCTTTTCTTCGTGTTTTTGGGTGTGCTTGTTTTCCTAACTTTATTGCCAAGTCTTCTAATAAGCTATCACCGCGCTCTATTCAATGTGTTTTTCTAGGCTATGCTCCAGGCTATAAGGGTTACCGATGTCTAGATCCTGTTTCTGGTCGAGTTTATGTTAGTCGGGATGTCCAATTTTATGAAACTGATTTCCCATATTCTAGGCTAGTTAAAACTCATAAAACCCCTCCAGCCCTGTCCTCCGACACATCCTCCCATTGGCCTCTCAATTTCCACTTTCCTACACCCAATACCATCTCTTCCAGCATGCAACCTCCAGCATCTACACCTGTGCTTACGCTGGAAGACCACACTGCCAGCATTGAACCAAATCTTCATTCCTTCAGCCCCACCTCAATTCCTACGGCCAGCCCCATCCAAAATGAACCGAACAGCCCCACTTCACCATTGTCCACTACCCCAGTCAGCCCGCCCACCAGTAGCACATCCAGCCAACTGCCCAGTTCCACATCCAGCCCACTGCCCAGCCCCACGTCCAGTCCACTGCTCAGTCCCACATCCAGCTCTTTATCAGGTCCGATGTCCAGTTCTTCCCCCACCTCGGTTACCAGCTCACACACTGGTTCCCAATCTACCTCCACAGAAACGTTCCTACCTTTAGTCAATTCTCATCCCATGCAAACTAGAGCTAAAGATGGTATTTATAAGCCCAAACAAATTTTTACTTTAAGTGCTTTTTCGCCCCCGTCTGATCCAACCTGTTTTTCTGAAGCTCAAAAACATCCCATTTGGCGGGCTGCCATGGCTGATGAATTTAATGCACTACTTTCTAATCAGACATGGGATTTGGTACCTTGGGATGGCATGAAAAATGTGGTCGGTTGTAAGTGGGTTTTTAAGACGAAATATAATTCTGATGGGACTGTTGAGCGCCACAAAGCGCGTTTAGTTGCTCAGGGATTTAAACAACAGGCTGGTGTGGATTTTACTGAAACTTTTAGTCCTGTTGTCAAACCAACCACTGTGCGTCTTGTGTTATCTATTGCTGTTTCTCTTGGTTGGTGTATTCGTCAGTTAGATGTTAAAAACGCGTTTCTTCATGGTCATCTTACAGAAGAGGTATATATGCGTCAGCCTCAAGGTTTTATTCATCCTTCTTTTCCTAATCATGTGTGTCGCCTCAAAAAGGCATTATATGGTCTAAAACAGGCTCCTCGAGCTTGGTTTCACCGGTTCAGTGGTTTTCTCCTATCTCGGGGATTCTCTCAAAGTAAGTCTAACTCTTCCATGTTTGTCCTTTGTCAGCAGTCTCAGGTTGTATATATTTTGCTGTATGTGGATGATATTTTAATCACTGGCTCCTCATCGTCTCTTGTTCGGTCTATCATTCATTCTCTATCTAATCAGTTTGCCATGAAGGATTTGGGTGATATTCACTTTTTCTTGGGTCTACAGGCTCGGCGTACGTCTAAGGGTTTGTTTCTCTCTCAGCAAAAATATATTTCTGACTTATTACGCCGATTTCATCTACATACTGTTAAGCCTGTTCGTACACCTCTGCCATCGCGTACCACACTTTCTCTTACAGATGGTGAACTTCTCACTGATGCTACTGAGTATCGTAGTATGGTTGGTGCTTTACAGTATTTGACTTTGACCAGACCTGATATTACTTATGCTGTCCATTTGGTCTCTCAGTTTATGCATGCACCTCGTACTACTCACCTTGTAGCTGTGAAGCGTATTTACAGATATTTGCAGGGTACTACAGATTATGGTTTATGGCTTCAGGCTAATCGTGACATCTCTCTTATTGTGGCCTATTCTGATGCTGATTGGGCCGGCTGTCCAGATAGCTGTCGTTCCACAACTGGGTATGCAATTTTTCTGGGTCCTAATCTTATCTCCTGGCGATCCAAGAAGCAACCCACTGTCTCTAAATCTTCCACAGAAGCTGAGTATCGTGCGATAGCATATACTGTCCAGGATACTATTTTCATTCGTTCACTTCTGGCTGAGATGGGTATTCGGTTCTCCACGCCTGTTCAACTTCATTGTGATAATGTCTCAGCTTCCTATCTAGCTGTGAACCCGATTCAGCATGATCGTAGCAAACACATCAAAATTGATTACCATTTTGTTCGCGAACGCGTTGCTCATGGAGATCTGGTGGTCAAATATATCCCTACTCAACTGCAATTGGCTGACATTTTTACTAAAAATTTATCTAGTCAGCGTTTTGAATTTTTACGTTCCAATCTGCGCGTTGTTTCCCCTGCACAGATTGAGGGGGTGTAATAAGCTATAGTACTGGGATATTGATGTAATTTTTGACATTCTCTATTCATTATATATAGACCACCAGGACACCCTATTAGGGTGAGCCATTATTCCATCTTATTATTTCATAAAATGTAACACATACTCCGTATTAGAGAAATGGAAAAGGAAAATATTAATACACATGCTTTCCTTACTCACCCTTTCACCTCTCTCCCCATCTTCTCGTTGCCCGGCCCGTTCCGCCTCTACCACCACCACTGCCCTCTACCCATGTTGGTCTGCCAAAAAATTAAGGGAGAATTTGAGTTTGCACCTCATGTTTTGGGTGATATTTGACTTTGCACCCCATTTTTAAAATCATTAATGTATGCACCCCATTAGCCCAAAAATTGTGAAGGAGTAGGGTGCAAAGTGAAATGATTTTATAGTGAATTAGGGTGCATACATTAATGATTTTGAAAATAGGGTGCAAAGTCAAATATCACCCAAAACATGGGGTGCAAAGTCAAATTCTCCCAAAAATTAACCTTTCTACTGAATTGCAGGAATGAGACAACACTGCTCTAGATCATCCACAGGAGACATGATTATCGTTGCTTGAACCTTGGATTGGTTTCCAAACGTTGGAACCGCACTCACACCACCTTAAAAAGCACTCTAGAAGACTAGAGAAGAACCGCACAAAAAATCGGCGGAAGAAAAATCATACGCGACGATAAAGCAGTTAGGGAGACAAAACCCAGGGCCGTCCAAAGAATTTGGAGGCCCCGGTTCGAAATAGCAAATTGAGGCCCCCTAAAACTATAAAATATAACAAATTTAACAATGAAATAAAAAAAGTCAATGAAATATAAGTTTTACATAATGTTTTGGGAGTAAAACACGTCCTACCCGACACAACCCTACGTACATAAGTACTAGCCATTGGGAATTTGGAAAGTACCGCTCTAGTTAAACTAATTAATTGTACAAAAAAATGTATGGTTATGTAAAAACAATGTTCCTTTTTTCAATTTGTAAAAACTAAAAGTTATACATGTTTTAGAATTTGAAATAATACACAATATCTAGAAAAAATCAACCTACAGGCTATAGTTAATACTACAAACTAAAAATTTGGAGGCCCCCTATAAACGTAAACCCGGTGTGAAGCACCTATTGCACCTCCTAAAAGACGTCATGCGTCATTAAACTGCTAGGGAGAAACGTACGATGAAAACTCACCGGAAGAGTCTCCACCCAAGTAAATTGTTCAAACAATAGTAAAGTTTTTTTTATATCGAAAACAATAGTAAAGTTAAATCAGCACTTTTGATATTTAATTCATTTTAATAATTAATTAAACTTACTAATCCAAAAATACATACATTAAGATTTTTTATAAAGTTACAAAATCTAAATTAAATTAGAATATAATTAAATTAGAAATTCATATCCTAATTAAGTAATAAATGAACCTATCTGACTAAAAATCTTAACTTCACAAATCGAAAGAGAAAAATATATCCCACTCCATAAGTGTAACCATTTTAAATCATAAATATAGATAGTATATATTGTACGGATTAGTAAAAAAAACAACTCCTCTTCACACTTTCCCCTCCGATTGAACCTCTTTCGAGTATACACTTCCCCCATGAAAATTAAAAGAAGCAGATATATGCAACGGTGAAGCATCAAGCATATATAGCAAATTAGCAATATACATTCACGTACGTACATCATCAGAGATGCAAATAGCATTCTTTGGTGATAGTGGTGAATCTTGGCAGGGTGTTCAAAATTACTTTACACTTGTAAAATAATATTATTTGATCCAATAGTTGAAGAGATTTAATTTTTTCAGCAAAAAAAAAAAACAAAATGGTTAAACGTAAATATATTAATTACATAAAAAATACAACATACTTCCTCTGTTTTTTTTAGTTGCAACAATCAACATTTGCACATTTGTCAATGCACACTTTTGACCGTAAGTATGTCTTAATCTCTATTAACAAAAAAAATATTAAAAATCAGATTTTGAAAATTGGTATTGAGATGAATTGAAAAATATTTTTTTAAAAAAATAATTTTCATAAAATAATAGTGTAAAATGTAGTCAAAGTAGATCATGTGAACAGTGCAAAAAGTCAACATGTTGCAATTAAAAAGAGACGAGGATAGTATAAATTATTATATCAATTTTATACAAGTATTTTTGCATTTCATTTTCAAAATTTTGGGTATGCACATAAACACCTTAAACAAAGACCATCCGTGCGCCACTGTTAGTGGATGAAAGCATATGCTTTGCAGCATAAAATGACCCCAAAAGATTAACACATAAAGCCACAACATGCACTGATTAAGCAAATAAGTCGATCAAGTATGCATATATACACACTGCAAAGTGGTTGGAGATATGCTTGGCTCCTCATACGCCATTCATGGAGGCACATCAAACTCTGAATGAGCTCCTCAAATGGCATACAGGGAGCCAGGCATACATGTAGCCATATGCATATATCTCTTTACACATCCAACTGATGCATAAAAATATGTTGCTTGGGATCAAAAGTGAGGAGAAAGAAAGAGGGCTGAAGCGAAATGGAGAGGGGATATATGTTGTACATATTTGGGGTCCTAATAACAATAAGCTAGCTAGCTGGTAAATGGCAATCAATGCAAATGGATCCTTCCAAGCTAACCAGGTGTTTGAGTGAGGAGAGAAAGGAGATGATGAGGTTATGTTTGTAGGGTTGAAGGGGTTGCGTAGTTCTGTGTTGGAAGGACGAAAGACGACACAATATAAAGGGATGGAGGAAGCTAAGCCAGGCCAGGTAGGGGTTAGCTAGGGTATGAGTGGGGCTGGGAGAGATGAATGATGGGGTTTGAAAAAGAAAGCCAATTCGGTCTCTGATCTTCTTTTTCTGGGATGGGTTGCTTTTCTCATCTGAGCCCTTTGTCTCGGAGTGCTTGGCCGACATGGATTCCCACCTTCTCTTTCTTTCTATTTTCTATCAATATACTACCGCGCCAGACTAAAAGTAAACGCAAATTTAGCATCCCCAGCTTTTTCAATCATGCTTCGTAAGGGTTTATGAGACATATTATGCATCCTCACCCCAGTCTCATAATTGCATTTGTTTATCATTTTTCAAATATTAAAAGCATTGTTTTTTTTTTAAGGAAAAAGCATTGTTTTGAAATGTACTCCCTCCGTTTCTAAAAGAACCTCACACTTTCCTTTTTTGGATGTGCCAAAATAAAAGTCACACTTCCCTTATTTCCTTATTTGACAAAGAAATCTACATCCTAACAGTGCCAAACAGTGCCAAACAGTGTCCAAACAGTGCCAAACAGTGTCTAAACAGTGTTTTCTACAGTAAAGTCAATTTATTTCCTTAATAACTGTGAAGTCAAACCGTGACTTTCTTTTAGAAACGGAGGGAGTAACATTTAAGAACCCGTTTGGTAGCACGAAAATCTGTTGTTTTGGCTGATTCTGTTAGAATTTATGAAGTTCTGGCTGAATTGACTGCATTGGTTGAATCTGCTGATTTAAGAAAAAAATATTTTTAGAATATACTTTATTAATAAAATAAAGAAAAAATTATATGTAAAAATAGCTAAAATAGTCATCTACAGTAACTTCAGCCAATACAGCCAGAAAAGTAACTCCAACCTTACTTTTTCTGCTTATTACACAATTCAGCGCGTGAAAGGATAAATTACGCATTTGGTGAAAAAGTTGGCTGATAAGCCGAAAAACAGTGTTGCAAAACGGCCTCTAAAGTTAGCTTAAGAGTTAAGAGTAGATAGTAACATAAATAGGGATCGCAATTGTATCCGACACAAATAGATAGTGTCTGTATGAAATCGCTTTTGTCAAAACATGTAAAATCGCATTGACCTAATAACGAATTGAGACCGCGAATAATATTTTCATTTATATTTTGACAATGGAGCAGTTTATACATACTCGCTCATTGCGCACCCAGTGTATTTTCATTTATATTTTGACTTCATTTCTTCGTATTCTTCCTCCTTTTCCTTTAGTGACTTACAAACCCCGCAAAAGCCTTGTCGGGTCGGGGCGTGGGGCCCTTGGGGTTGGGGATTCAACATTTTGGAAGAATGAATCACATCACTAAAAGTAAACTTTAATTTAATCTTGTAGTTGTATTTTTATTTGATAAATTATTACGAAGTATTCCCTCCGTCCCGCTAAGATTGTCCCAGACACTATTCACTTGGTCAATACAAATCACTTTTAATCTCTTTCTTTATATATCAAATTTTTATCAATTTGATTCTGGTTTTTGCGACTTTGTAAAACTTTTAATGTAGTTTCTGAATATGCAATTTTTTTTTCTAAAAATAATTTGAGTGCGGATAGGAATTTGTTTTCTTTATCGTCGGTCAAGCATCGTAAACCGAATTGTCCCAAACATAGTGGGAAGGAGATAATACTACTTATTACATAACCAAATTATGCGAAGATATAAGTACATTTTCATTTTTGCGTATTACAAGAATTTTAAGGATAGAGACAGGAGTCACAGGACTTTAATTGATTTTTGCTTAAATTTAATTTAATTTTGGAATTACTAAGGATACAAAATAGGACAAATAGGACAGTTTCATTTTTGCGTATTAATTTTCACTTTGATTAATAAGATTTATGTAGTCCTATTAAAAGATTAAGTTGATTAAAACTTTTCCAAATTAAATTAAAGTCATGTAATTGGTCACGGACCACTCCGATGACAACGGCGGTGAATTCCGGTGACGGGGGGCGAACAAGCAAATCAGTAGCGGCAATCTAAGTGAAAATTCCAACGACTCATTAGCGGCGGTCCGAATTTAAAAGTCTATGGACTTTTTGAAAGTCTATAAACTTATCCATGTATTTAAGAAACTCCATTGACTTTTTATAACTACGGACTTTTTGGAAGTCTATAAACTTAAAAGCCAATAGAATTCATTTATAAAAAAAACTATTCAGGTTTGCCATAAAGTTGGTAGATTTATCTTGGCAGATTTACATAAAAACTGCCATAATCTTCGTAGAATATGAATTGAAGTCCACGATAAAATATTCGAAAAACCGAAAACTTTAATAGAATAGTGACTTTAACAAATTCACCTCAATAAGAAATAAAAAGTTAATAAAAAAAATCAGAAAAATCCATTTACACAAAAAATTGCCATAGTTGGATTCTCAGTGTACATTTCTGCCATAAACATGACAAAATCGCATGACATACAATTCCAAAAATCAACAAATTGAATGTCAAAAGTAAAAAAAAAAACATAAGAATGGAAAACAAATAAGAAAAAACATTTTGAAAGCAAAAAAATAGAATAATAGGAGGATGTAGAGGAAGAAGAAGAGGAAACATGGCCAAACGGCGACGTGCGTGCGGTGATTGGAGTCGTCGTCATCGTGCACGTGCGCGCGGTGGAGTCATCGGCGGCGGCTAGGGATGAAGTCGGCGATGGCGTGCGAGCTATACGGTGAAATTGACCGATCTGTTGCGCAGAGGAGGAGAAGTCAATCGATCTGATATGCAGGGGAGAAAAATCAATCGATCAGATGAGAAGGGGAGAGGTGATTGTGCACAAAAGGGAGAGAAGGTTTTGCGCATAAGTGTAGATCGATCAGTTAACAAAGCAGGAAGGGCAACAATGGAATGAGAAATTCTGTATGTTTTAAAATATGAGTAGAATGGTCATATTTGGAGGGAGGGGGGACATACATGGTCCTATTTAAGATTTTCTCCCATATTTTGCTCCTATATGAGGCAATTACTATTTCACATTTATACCGAGTATTTTGAAATTAGTAATTCGTACCTCATTTGAAATTTATCGCGTAAACACCTAAAGATATTTTATGCTTATGACAAAGCTTATGGACGCATATTGGGGGTTTTGGAGAATGGAAAGTTCTCGATATAGGTGTAAATAAGCTTTGGGATTTTCAAATAGGATTGTTGTCTTTTTCTTCTTGAAATAGGTGTAACATAGCAACATTCACTGTCATATTGGAGCCATTACTGCAAAAATAGTTGTAGTACTAGACTAACATCACAATATTTACTCTCATTAATGACAATATTTTTCAATCGTTGCAGTATTTTTTAACCATGACGGTAACAACTCATAATTCGTGAAGAAAAACGTAGCAGTCATATTTCGGAATTCCAAAACCAATTTACTTCTATTTGGGATAATTTCTCATTGGAAAATGGCGTTACAACAAAAAATAGCGATTTGGTCCTTTTAGCGTTTTCAATAAGTAAAAACATTGTTTGGTAAATAACTATTCGACATTAGGGGTTTTTAATCAAAACCGCTGAAATAGAAATGATGCAAATTGCAGCATTTTGGGTTGGTGTTTGGAATTTGGGGATTTTCTATTAATTGCTATGGTCAAATAGTTAACTTACCAAATATTTTATGAAACCCGCCAATTAAATCTGATATTAACAAATCGCCACTAATATAAGAAATATTTTAATGACTTTCATGAGAAATATTTTAGGCATTCTCTCCATTGTGCAACAGGCATTGGGTGCTAGTAGTCCATACAAGTATGGGTAAAACATGGTTTTTGTAGGTAAAAGTATATTTATATATTGGTAACATTTTGTTCCAAGTGCTGAGAAAATCATTAATCCTAATTGATCATTTAACAGAATCTAATTTACTTATATAATAATAATAATAGTAATAATAATAGTAATAATAATAGTAGTAGTAGTAATAATGATGATGATGATGATGATGATGATGATGATGATGATGATGATGATGATGATGATGATGATGATGATGATGATAATAACAAACAACAACAACAGAAACAGCAACAGTAACAGCAACAGCAACAGCAACAGCAACAGCAACAACAACAACAACAACAACAACAACAATAATAATAGAAATTATATAATAGTATACTTTCTTCATTCTTTTTTTAGTTGCAACACTATCATTTTCATGTTTGTCAATGCACAACTTTGATCATTATTATATTTAATTCTTAATTTTATAAATTTCAAAAAACTTAATGTTGTGACTATTTAAGATGGAAGGTAGTAAAATATAATGAAACTTAAAATGAACTAGTATATTTATAATTTGACAACACATAATAACCAAGTCTTTCAATATATAATTTCTAAGTTAAACAAAGCCAAACTTGACAATAACAACTTGTTATCAAAACATTAGCTTTCGCCTTTAAATTACTACTACCATGGTAAAAATCTATTCTACTCATCCAATTCAGGAGTTGTGTTCTCAAATGGGATAAGGGTCAGTTTGGTCCTCAAAGTTGCAAAAAAGGGGTCAAATAAGTCCCTATATAGAAGATTCTGTCCGGACGTGCCATTTGAGGTGGCTCCCGGTGGAATTATTTGATGAAATTTTTTGAGCATCTTACTCATTAAGTCTAGTTTACTCATACCAAATTTCATATAAAAATTCAATGGGGAAGACATTCAAATGAATTCTTGAAGATAACTGTGCCGTTAAAAACGCTGTTATCTTCAAGAATTCTTTTGAATGTCTTCCCGATTGAATTTTTAGCTGAAATTTGGTATGAGTAAACTAGACTTAATGATTAAGATGCTCAAAAAAATTTATCACAAAATTCCACCGGGAGCCACCTCAAATGGCACGTCCGGACAGAATCTTCTATATAAGGACTTATTTGACACCTTTTTTGCAACTTCGAGGACCAAACTGACCCTTTACTCGTTCTCAAATGGTCCCGTTTGTTTTCCAGTGGTTTGGTGTTGAAAAATGTGTAAAAATTGCGTTAAATGGTCATTTTTGGGAAGTATTTTGAGTTGGGTTCACTTCCGATATGGGTCGGGTCAAAGTAATTTCGAATTCTCCTTGTTAAGGGTTTCAATTCGATATATGGTACACTCAAAACGGATAACGGGTGAATGAGAAATTGATTCTTGAAGTTCACTCGTTGAATGGAGAAAACTATGAAATGATGGGTTTCTAGTGTGTTTTATCCCACACCGGAAAACTCAAGGGATTTTCACTCCTTTATAAAGGTGACCTTTCTTGAAGGAGTTAAGAATCCTAGGTGAAAAAACTCTTTTCGCGCGCGGGGTCCCGATCAAATCCCGAAAACGGAGAAGAAAAATCGCAACTTACATGTGTGGGTAACTTGCAGACACGGATGTCGTCCGATAATCTATCGAACTTAAAACCATTAAAACGTACTTAACACACAACAAATTTGTCCCTAAATATAGCTAGCAAGTGTTTTGCAACAACACACGAACTTGCATAGTGTTCATGTTTTTTCAGCTTAAACCACCTCTAGTTTCCAGAAAACTTCCTCAGTGTTTGTGTTGCACAAGCTTTGGTTTTTCTGCTCCATCTTGTTTCTGTTTTTCCTTGACTATTTTAATTAATTTTAATCAATTAATTTTTATGTTTTTCCAAAATTCAATTAACATTTGGTACCTACACGGAAAAACCAGCCATTGGCATGGAAGGAATGATATTCTTTTTAATTAACATTTTTGCATCAATCAACTGAACTTTGGATTAGAATTTAGTTGTGTTGGACTTTAACCACAAGCTTGGAATTTCAGAATGCACCTAATTGACCCCCCATGCTGCCCTATTGCCTTCCCGCTTTATGACTTCCATATTCAGATACTCATCCTCTTTATCCACTATGTCTATGACTAGGTACACGCTTTCTTCCAATCCTCCTGGAGTCTCAGTTCCATGTAAACTTTCTCTTGAAAAGGAAATTCCTTCTATATTCCCCTTTCTTGATCCAATCACTCACTCCATACTCCTCCACCTAACCCATCTACCCCGTATGATCCGCTCACCTTGAATATGATCTTTCATTGGAAGCAACCTCTGACACAACTATGCCTCTCCCGGATGCGTAAATTATATGGTACAACCGGCTGTACCATGCTCATGGTACACCCAGGTACTTTAGTCTATACTTAATACATATATAGTTTAAATGAAATGAGTATTAGTATTAAATTATAAAATTAGCATAGAAAATATTTTTATGACAATATACTGATAATATACTTAAAGGGGAATTTGACATTGCACCCCACTTTTTGAGTAATATTGGACTTTGCACAACGTTTTGAAAAAATTTTGACTTTGCACCCCATCATATAACATTTTGTGAAGCAAAATTTCTAAATGGGGTGCAAAGTCAAAGAATTTGTAAGTGAAATCGGGTGCAAAGTCTAAGTTTTTTAAAATGAGTTGCAAAGTCCAATGTCAGCCAAAAAGTGGGGTGCAAAGTCAATTGCACACTTCTATACTAAATTGTGTTACCACAACAAAGATTTAATACTAATGCTCATTCCTTTTAACGTTATACCGATTAGGCATAAGATAAAATACCCAATTGTACGATGAGCACCGTACAACCGGGTGTACGGTATTAGGCATGGACCGGTACTGGGCTGGGCCAGTCCAAACCGGGACAAAATTTGTTGGGGTAAGGCCCGATACCGACCCGGGATTCTACATTTCTACCGGGACCGGGTCGGGCCAGTTCTTTGTAGTTTTTTTTAGCTTTTCTTATTTATTACCCCCACCCCCGCCAAAACACCCAGCCCACCTACCTTAGGCCCAAACCCAAAAAATTAAAAAAATAGAAAAAGGCCTGGGCCGGTCCCCATTTTTCTGCACCTGGAGCCTGCCCTGTAAACCCCCCTCACCGGGCTGGTCTACCCAGTCCCGGTTAGCAGGTCGGGCCGGTATTACACAGGACCGGGCCGGTCAACCCAGGCCCAGTCCATCCCTATACGGTATACGTACTCCCCCAGATCCAGATGTGCTTCATTCACACACAAAGGTTTCTGAAGAGAATGATTCCCGACCTCTTGCGATTGAGGGAAAATTTTATATGCAAGACCCACTATTCCACACATAAAAAATATATGCAATCGCCTCCTGGACTTAAATCCTGCACTACTGAGAGTTTCTCAATATTAATCGATATGCAAATCCGCATAAAACCCTTCCAAGATCCACCAAACGTGTCCTCAATTCTCATCCAAACATTCAAAACGGCCAATATTATCCCCAAACATCCTAAATAGCACAAGCTTAGCATTACATTATATAATTACATTGGAGGTAGAATGAAGCACAAGTGAAACTACATGCGATGCCATTAGTCATCATTATATGACACATTTATTAAGAAGTAATTGCCCTTAACAAGTGATGATTACATATTTACATGTACCAGATGCATTTAACCAACATGCCCACATTTAGCATTGCCTAACATTACACTAATGATGATGCATAACTGCATAAGTAAAACTCAACTGGATGCCAATACATAGTTAATCCTTTCACGGGAGATTTACACTATCTGATTCATGGATCACCTTTAAAATCATAACAAAATAAGATCACAAGTAAATTTATGACGCCTGTTAACTTTGTTTTTATCTAAGGGAACACAGTAGGAGGGATAATTATGTCTCCGATGTTGGTGTGCCATGGATCAGCTAAGTGAGCTGCCAAGTTCTCCAGCGGTCCTGTTCCCGGGTACACCGACTGTTGAACGCATATTCCTACGAATGCCAACAATGCTAGCCGTCCTGCCCATTCATTTATCATTATCATTATTGAAATTATGATGATCTTTAAATCCCTTTTCCCCAATCAAATCAGCAGGTTCGATTAATTCAAATTTATCATTTATCAACCACAATCTCAATAATTTCATCCCTCTTGATCATTTTAGCCAGCCAAATGCATTTTCACCAAACGGGCTTTAGGCTTCATTTGGTAGTGCAAGTTGGTATATTCTGTTAATTACTATGCTTAAAAGAAGAACAAGAAAACGTTAACGAACTTATTTGGGTGAAAATACATTTCAACAGTCACTAACAAACAGGTTTTGGGCCTCGTTTTGCAGTTCAATTCGCCTTCTTCAAGAGATTATTCTGCTTTTAAGAAGAGTGAGTAGTTTATGCTTTTATGTGACTTAAGTCTCGGACATAGCTCTCCCAAGGTTGGCAAATGTTATATATTTTATGTGTAAAATTTTGTGTAAAAAATTAAATAAAAAATACTTTATACCCACTCACGCCAACATTTTGTCCCGCCTATGTGGCAGACTTAAATGGATGCAAGCAGATTCAATCGTTTAAGCAAAAAAACGGCTTATGAAAGACACTTAGCTTAGTGTCAGAATCTTAAAAAAGAACTGACCGTTCTTGATTTCCTTGACCTTGAGCTCATGGAACTTTGCAGGATCCTGCTTGGAGTAGCCCAAGGGATCAAAAGCTCCACCGGGGTACTTCTTCTTTTCCGCGTCTTTCTCCATGCTTCTTTGATGCTCTACAAACGCAATGGCGAGAAACTCGATGACGAGGATGGTGGGGAGGGTGCCCCATGGGACGGGTTGTCCTAGGTATGTCCCCTGCCCTCCTGGAATTGCTGCCCACTCTTGTGCCTTCACCCAATTCCCCAACCCCATTGCCTCTGGGATTATCATACCAGGCTGCAATTAACATGGTCTCAACACATTAACCCACACATTTTACGTGATTGTATATATTTAAATTTATTATACATTTGGAGTGGTTGAAATGCTTAAAGTAATTGATATGTTTGAGTTCATTAGTCATACCAAATCCAAAATGTATATCAATAGACTAATCTAATTTATTACGAGTATAATGTTTTGGTTAGTCAACCTATAATGGTTGTCCTTTTTGGATAAATTTGTTTCGTTCTTACCTTCTTATAGAGGACGTTTGGTAACACTGTTTTTCGGTTTATCAGACTTATCAGCCAACTTTTTCACCAAGCACGTAATTTTTGCTTTCGCGCGCTGAATTGTGTAATAAGCAGAAAAAGTAAGGTTGAAGTTACTTTTCTGGCTGTATTGGCTGAAGTTATTGTAGATAACCATTTTAGCTATTTTTACATATAATTTTTTCTGTATTTTATGTATAAAATATATTTTAAATTTTTTTTTCTTAAATCAGCAGAATCAGCCAACGCAGCCACTCCAACCAGAACTTCATAAATTTCAGCAGAATCAGCCAAATCAGCTGATTTTCGTGCTACCAAACGGGCTCATAATCTTTTGCTTAGAGGATTTCTTCCTAATCTAATTGGATTGTGTAGTATCATATGTTCCATAAACAAGAGTTAATGCAAAACGTTGGAAGTAACAATAAAACTCAGTGTTAGAATTGTTTTAATAAAAATTCAGTCATTTTTGTTACCACCCAAGTAAGAAAAAGAGTCATACGCCATTTAGTAACATTAAAATTGACTGAATTAACTAAATATCCTGAAATTGTAACTGAAACAGTTAAATTGACTAATTTTTTGAATTATAAAATAATAATTATTTAAAAGAATAGATTTTATTAATAGAACTATGAAATTCTTGAAATTCTGACTGAAGTAGTTAAATTCTAACTTTCATTTTATCAAGTATACATGTATTTGAACAAAGAAGATTTTTACTTCCTCCTCATTTCTATTAGTTTTTCTTAATCTTTTGTCCCCCTAAATACTTTTTTAAAAGTATTTAACTATTACTAATTTTTGGTAAAGAAACATATTGAACTAAGATGAAAGAATATACATACACCATGTAGTTTATTTTTATAAGAAATTGAGCTAGATAGGATCGAGTAAAAAGAATATGACATTACAAAATAACTACGGAGTATTATTTTTCCAGAGTAAGTAATATCATGCATGGAAAATATCGATATTAATAAGGGGAAATCTACCACTCCTATTCTGAAATATCACATTATTTTTCATATTTTCTTATTTTAACTCACTTAAAGGTCACACAAGTTCAAAACAAAATTTATCAATGTAAAACCCATATAATCCAATAATGTTAATTACCACAGCAAGCATAGCCCATCTGCAATGGATAAGTTCAGATTCCTTGTATCTCTCGAGGATTCCTGGAATCTCCCCTAGTCCAAGCGGGTCGAACCCATAGTCTCTGCAATATATTGTTTTCTAGCTTATAATTAGGTTGAAATTAAACTAATTGTAGTTTAAGTAAATAAGTATGGAGGAAATTAAAGTAGAATTACCCAGGAGCAGAGCCATCGAGGTAGGGTGGGCGGGGCTGGCCGGGCATCCAGTCCGAGGACATGGTGGCCTTGGCGGTGGCGGCGGCCACTTTTGCGGGGATGCCGGTCAACGGCAGGGCGGAGGCGAATTTGGACTTGGAAGAAGAGAGAAGTGAGGAGCAAACCGTGGGTACACCGCCGCAGCTCATCATCATTGCATTGGAAGCCATTATTGCTTTTGGTAATCTTCTGCGTTTTGGGCTAAATGAAGGGTGGATGAGGAAGACGAATACATAAATATTACTGCTGATGGGGCCAAATATCAACGGATATAGTTGAACCCAAAGGACGATTGTGATTGGCTGAGTAAAGAAGCTTATCTTCTTTCATTGAGCCACGTGGAGATTACATATGACATTTCATCGACTCAGGATTTTGTGGCCGAGCTTCGGTACAGCGTGTTCTTCAAATCTACGTGGCTTTCAATATTATCTACTTTCAAATAATCAAATGTCTTCGTAATTAATTAATTAAGGGATAAGGGTCAGATAGGGCCTCGAACTTGAAAAAAAATGTCAAATAATGTCATATTTAGGATGCTCTGTCCGGCCGACGCCATTTGGGGCGGTTCTCGATGAAATTTTTTGATGATTTTTTTTGAGAATCTTATTAATCAAGTCTAGTTTACTCATATCAAATTTGAACTAAAACTTTAACCGGGAAGGCATTCAAATGAATTCTTGAAGATAACTGTGCAGTTAAAAGCGCAGTTATCTTCAAGAATTCATTTGAATGCCTTCCCGATTGAATTGTTAGTTCAGATTTGATATGAGTAAACTAGACTTAATGAATAAGATTCTCAAAAAAATTCATCAAAAAATTCCACTCGGAACCACCCCAAATGGCGTCAACCGGACATAGCATCCTAAATTAAATATGGCCTTATTTGACATTTTTTCCCCAGTTCGAGGCCCTATCTGACCCTTATCCCATTAATTAATTAATGATAAATGATAACCCTGATCATTTTTTAGATATTACAAAAATAATATAGATGAAAATGTGACTAAAATTATTCTGACTACATAATCTATATATTAATTAAATATATATATTAATATATTAATTAAATATATAGGTAATGTGTTCATTGGTTATTCCGTGCAACGCTCGGGTAAAAGACTAGTTATAATAAATACAATGCAAAATATAAATAATGTAAGATTTAAGTGTAAGCTTAAATGGACCACTTTTGTAGAAGTTTAAGGATTAATAATTGGAAATTTCTACCATACCTTCAAAAATAATTGATGTACCGGTACCCTATGTAGCACCGATACCGGTACGCGGAAACGTGGAAACGCGGAAACGGGTACGGGGATACGTCAAAACCAAAAAAAGTAGGATACGGATACGGGGCCATATTTATAAATATTAAAAGTTATGGGGGTGTATTTACAAATATTAAAAGTTATAGGGGTCTATTTATAAATATTAAAAATAGATTATTTTTTTGAAAATACACACACACACATATAATATCCTATGATGTCTACTTATTCATTGCATTGAAGCATTTTCCTTTTTCAAGATATTTAGTAATAAATTCATAATATTTCTCATGTACACTAGTGCATCTCGAAATATAAATGTAGTCAATAAGTCATTAATTTAAAATGAAAAATAAGTCAAACAACTACAATCTTGAAATTAAAAGTGCAAGTACCCACTTCAAAGTATGAGTTAATGACTTAATTCGGATATAGTCATATAGGCCCATTATTTGATTACCTAGTAAAATGTAGTTTTAGGTTTTCATTTTTTTTAGAATTTTATTAAGTAAATTTTGGGATTTTTTTTTTAAAAGTTGATACGGGTATCCGTTAGGATACGAGTATCGGAAACTTTGAAAAAATTACAAAAAAAATGGAAACTTTTAAAAATTACAGATACGGCCCGGGAACGTACGGTACGGGTATCCTAGAGTATCGGATACGGGAACGTATCCGATACGCCGATACGCTACCCTAGGGAAGTATCCGTGCTTCATAGCCGGTACCTTAACCTCCATAGCCCATGAGATTCTATTATGAAGCCACGTTATATCCTAGTCATTAGTATAATAAGTTTTATTATTTGCACCATACTCCCTGGTATTCAACGTTTGTTAACTGCTCACTCTCGTCAATTCCCGCAACCTCTTTTCCTTCCTGATGCTAGGTCAAACGGAAAGCATGAAATAGAAGGCAGTCAAACACCCTGTGCGACGCAATGGATGCCGGACATTTTTAAAAATTGAAGGATTATGTTTCCATTTGAAACAAAAAAAAAAACACTCCAAATCCCCTTTCCATCGTTTCTCTTCGATGGCCCCTTGTAAAAAAGAGATGAGAAGATGGAGCCACAACCACATGCATCTCAACAAAGATATTTGTCATCCTTTTCGTTGTCGGAGCCTAGTTCAGAGATTGGAAGCACCGAAACACAAAAGTTTGGTTCTGATTTAGGCTGATGTTTGAGTTCGTTTCATCGGTGGGTTTGATGTAGCCGCACAAAATAGGTGGAGTGATATTTAATTTGTGTGGAAATGACGGAAGTAACGTGTGTAACGTAGCATTGAGTAGTTAATAACAAACTTTAAATATTTCATTCGTTTATTAGGGCCTAAACTTCAAATAATAAAACTTAGTTTAGTAATAATGTAATATATATGAGTAGGATCCTAACGTGGCTTTCTACTGTAAAGTGATTAGTCAAAGTGTTAAATGCACCGGTACCTCCTTTATTTTTGAATGCACCGTAGAAGTACCCGTTTCTGTTATTTCCGTCTCATGCGTGCTTCAATGATTCTGCGCTGAACGTGGGTGATCAACGTTTCTCTTTTTTTTCTTTTCTTTTTATTCTCCTTTCTTTTTTCGTTTTTTAATTGTTTGTTATCTCTTTAAGTTGAAAGTTTGTTTTTTAGCAACCTTCTACTTTAATTTATATTCTATTATTATGAAAATGTATCATATAAGATCTACATCTAATCTAAATCTAATCTAAATCTAATCTAATCTAAAAATATGATAACCATGAATGTAGGTTAGTACCCCTATATTATGTCCTCGTCTCATTTGCATTGCTACTTGTACACTTTTATGAAATTAATGTACCTAAACTTTTTAGGTCAAAATTAGCCTCTACTTCCGTTAGCTAAACTAACAGCGGCTCAACTCGTCCACTAACATTCTTAGGAGGAATACATTAGGCTTTATTTGATGTTTTGTCAACTTTGTTTAATTTTTAAGTTATTTTGTTTAATTTTCAAGCTATTTAAATAATGTCATATACAAGTGTCTAAATGAATGTTTTACAAAATAGATAGTATATGATATCTTTAGCAAATTTTGTGTAGGAAAATTTTAGTAATACGGATCGAAAAGAAAATGTAAAATTCTCTAAATAGGAGTAAAAACGTTTTGAAATTCCAAGATATGATTGTCATATTTTTATTCCCCAAATAGGAGTACTTTCAGTCAAATTTGGTGTTACCAAACTTTAAACATGGTAATTTTTTTTTCAAATTTGGCAGAAATTACTCCTATTTAGGTAATACAAACACAAGGATCGTATTTTGGAATTTTAAAACGTTTTTACTCCTATTTGAGGTAATTTCTAATTAAAAAGTTTTTTAATCCTATAATTAAACATAAATTTTATATAAAAAAATCCTATAATTAAACAAAAGGTTAGTCATATATTTTTTAGGGTAACAAAAGGTTAGTCATATAATCAGTTTTTATATTTCAAAAACTACAATTAATATTTTAGTCGATTTTCATATATAGGCATAGCTTCCACACTATTTGGCAGACATGGAATTTACAAATATTTCATATTTTAAAACAAAAACATAGCAAGATCATATATATAATCACATGCGCATTCAAAAACAAATCACATGCTTTTAAATATAGGCATAGCTTCTTAACTATCAGCATGTAATAATTATTTACGATAAACAATACTCCCTCCGTCCCCAATTAAATGTCCCATTTTACCATATTGAGATGTCCCTATTTAAATGTCCCATACATCATTTGGTAAAGTTTGTGTGGCTCAAAATCATTCTTACTTTATTCTTACTTTATTCCTACTTTATCAATTAATATCAACCACACAAACCCACTTTTCTTAAAACCCGTGCCACCTTCTTCTGGGACTTTTAAAAGGGGACGAAGGGAGTATTACTTTATATTGGTAGGGCCGGTCCTGTCCTATTTTGGGCCTGTGGACAATATACTATTTTGACCTTATTTCCAAGATAAACCGTAAATTATACCCACTTAGGATGTTTTTACTTGGACTGTAATTTGTCCCAGACCAGTCCAGACCAGTTCAGACCACACTACAAAAAAACAAGGCTGTAGTCATGGACGTTAGTCACGGATTTCGTCCGTGACCAGCGTAGTCACGGACTAGTAACGGATTTCGTCCGTGACCAGCGTAGTCACGGACTAGTCACGGACTTAAAAAAAGTTAGTCACGGATTTGTCCGTGACTACGTCCGTGACTAACCAAATCCGTGACTAACGTCCGTGACTACGGTCCTCCAGTAGCCCCAATTCTGTCACCGGCGTGTCCGTTTTTATTCCGGCGGTTTGGTCACGGACGTATCCGTGCCTACGTCCGTGACTACTAAAAAATTAATTTTCAAAGCTCAAAATTAATTTCGCAACGGTATCTTGTACGGACTAAATTAGTCACGGACAAATCCATGACTGGGTCCGTGACTAAAAAACGAATAATAATATTCACACGCGCAATTCACACAGAATGGCTTAGTCACGAAAAAATCCGTGACTACGTCCGTGACTAGGATTTTTATATATGCATGTCTAGTTCATTCAACAGAACTACACCAATTCATTCCCAGTATACAGTATCTGTTTGAAAGATCGAAGAATGTAGTTCATCTTATGTCATTTTCCCTGTTTATGCAGATACGGTATGTTATTTGAATTCTTTTTATTTAGAATTAGTTGGTTCAATTTAAATAATTAAAACTATTAAATTAGTGAGGTTGTTAATTAATTAACAGTATATTTAACTATAAACGTAGAGATGTCATAAAATTAGTTAAATTTTTAGGTTTATAAAATAATTTAATTAAAATTAGTTAGCTAAGCGTAGGTTTAAACGTAGTGATCCATTAAGTTAAATTAAGTAAAATTAGTTAGCTATACGTAGGTTTTAACTAATTAATTAAATTAATTAGTAGTAATTAGTTAACCTATTGTGTAGCTTTTGATAATATTAGTTAAATTTAAATATTATTTAATT